TGAAGGGAAGAAAAAAAAAAAAAAAAAAACTTAGGGCCAAACTAACCGCTTGCTGTAAACAGCTCATGTGCGTACTATAACACCCTTAGACACACAAAGTGGGTGTAAAATTTGGAGTTGTTTTCCAGCCAGTGTGTGTTTTGGCTTTGTCCGGTACTCCCCATTGCCACCAATTTGTTCTTCCAATTTTGTGATTCACCTGCGATGTGCACTGTCGGATGCCCGTTTGTGATACCCCATCGCTACAACATGTCACCCCGGGAGAGACCCAAATAGGAAAAAAAAAAAAAAAAAACATCACACAAAATGACATCTTCAAACAAATTTTTGAATGTAAAAAAGGAAGACTCCTACTTGGCCAAGCTTACACATGACACCATCATATTAGCAGATAATTTAATTAAAATTATTACAAAGCCTTTCACCTATGGAGGTTCATCAGCTTTGGAAGAGTATGCTGATGCCGGCAATGTGGAGGCCATCTCTTTCTGTTCAGAGGTGTTACCTTTTTACTGGAAGTCGGAGATAATTCATATGGGAGACATTTTCAGCGTCCGCTATGGCCACTCCTGCATTTTCTACAAGAACAGCATATACGTATATGGAGGACAGGGGCTCAGCGAATCCTTCAGCTCCAAGCTGCTTAAGTTCAACATGGGTAAGGGTACTTCGCCACCGCGAGGTGGAGAAAAGGCGGCGTAGTTCCGAAGCGACGAAGGGGCTACTTGGACACAGAGTGCCAATTGCATCTTTGTCCTACTGTGTGTGCGCAGCGATGTGTTCATCCATCTGTGGTTGTTATGTCTCTCATTTTTCTGCCCAATTTTCCGCCATTTTTTTCGTCACTTTTCCGCCATTTTTGTGCCCATTTTTTGTTCCCCTCCCGCAGAGACGCAGATTTTTAGCTTTGTGGAAGAACGGACCCCGCCGCAGAGCCGTTACTACGCAACTCTGAATTTAATTTACTCCAGCGCGTTGAAAGAGCAGTGCCTGTTCTTGTTTGGAGGCAAGCAGGGCCAGTACATCACCAACGACACCTATATGTTTAATTTAAGTAACAACACCTGGGAACACATAAAGGTGCAATTCTGTCCTCCTCCTGTATTTGGACATGTGTCTTTTAAATATAAGAATATTATTTTCATTCATGGAGGTAGGGAGGCTTGACCCGAGTGGGTAGTATAACTGAGGAGAAAAGGGGACATTTTTACAAAATGGCGTTGCCATGAAAACACCTTTGACGCCCCTATATATGCACCCTCCCACACACCGCTGTTCCCTCTCCTCGTAGGCAACATGGGGAACCTAAACGTGAACAACGATATGTGGTGCTACTTCGAAGAGGAAAAGAAATGGGTCAAAATTATGAGCAAGGATGAGTATTACAAGAAGGTGGTTTACAAACCCAGTGCCAGATTTTTTCATTCATGTTCTTTATGCATATCTAACCAGGGCAACGACGTCAGGGCGTTCATCTTCGGAGGGATGAACGCCAACAACAAGTGCGCGCAGGACATTTTCTGGTGTTATTCTTTAACTAACGGGATGTGGACCCCAATTAAGAATTCCCTGGGCAAAATCCCGGTGGGGCGATTTGGGTAAGCCAAAGGGGGCGATCTGTATGCACCTGTGCACGTGTGAACGTGCTAACGTGCTAACGTGTTAACGTGTTAACGTGTGAAAATATGTATACACATATGTATGTATATATTTTTTTTTTTCTTCTCAGACACAGCTCCACGGTTCTGAACGACACGTGGTTCCTCCTCTGCGGGGGGTACAACTCTTCCTGGTACTCCAAGTCGGACCTCCTGGGTAAGCCGCTGCGCAATGCCCTGCGCGCCCCATGTGTACACCATGCGTACACCATGTGTAGACCATTCCTTATACACGCATACATACTCATACCGTACCCCCCTTCACCTCCTGCTGCCCCCTCGAAGACATTCACGCATACGATATAAATTTAAACACCTGGTCAATCCTGAACGTGTACGGCACGCATCTGGTCACGCACCATTTTTATGGCAAAATCGTCCAAGTCGATGCGAGCGGCTACTTCCTCATCTTCGGGGGAATGAACAACAACGAAAAGTCAAACAAGATTTACAATTTTAAGCCGATCCTCCCTTCGCCATACTTCAAGTAAGCAACGCAGAATAGGGCGGAAAAAAAAAAAAAAAAAAAAAGAGAGAAAAAAATGCCAACGTTTATAAGGGGAAAACAAAAAAAAGGGGATGCCCCTTTTCCTGCTTAGGGCATACGCTACAACACGATGACGTACCCTCACGCACGCACCCCAAAGGGGAATTCTCCTTATATGCATGTCTTTTTTTCTTATATATATATATATATATATTTTTCCCTTTCATCCCGTTCAAAGACGCCTGCGAGACAAGGTAGACGAAATGGAAAGGAAGGTCCTCCACTTGGAACAGAACCCACTGCAATTACTGAACCCGTCTTACGGAAGAGACATAAATGAAATAAAAGGCACCCTCAGTGAGATCTCCTTCATTCTTGTGAGGTACATACAATTGGCTAACGACATAAATGAAAAAATAAAAATTTCAAATGAACTTTCCATAAGCAATTATTCACAACTGGCCGCAAAGTTTGAGCAGTACAATAAGCAATATGACTCTTTGGTCAACCGAATTGACCAGCTCGATAGCACTCTGCCCGATTCGGACCTCGACGTCAGGGGGGATAATGAGAACAACTTGCGAAAGAGCAGCTCCAGTTTTACTCTATCCAGCGAGCCCAGCGGTGAGCCGACCAATGCCTTGTAATGTCAAGTGCACGGGAAGGGGGACATAAAAACTTTACCACGCGGAATGCCCCCCCCCCCCCCCCCCCTACACACACACACCCCTTTGCCGCTACTTGAAGAATGAGCCCATTAAACTTTAAATGTGTGTAACTGCATCGGTTCAGAGGCATGTTTTTAATATACACGAATACGTTAGGGGAGAAACGAAGCCATGGGATCTTCCCTCAACGTAAGCAAATCGTCTTGTGGTTCTACTCGCGTCGGAGTGAAAATGGTGTAAACGGCAAACGCGCTACACATTGCTCCTAAAAGTTTCATTTTTTTTTTTTTTTTTTTTTTGTGTGTGTACGACTTTTACAGATGGTTTTAATGTTAAAGTGTTCACTGGAGGGAGGTTATTTATTTTATTTTAATTTTATTTTTTTTTCCTCTGCGATGACCGATACGTGTTTTATTTTGAAGGAAATGGTCGTCGGGAGTCCCCCTGGCGTCCCGCTTCCCGCCATGTGCACTGTTGCAGATTGGTAAAGCATTTCATTTGGCAGTTCATTTATAAACCTTTGGGGCAACATTTACTACAGGAGTCATCATCGTGGTGGGCATTTGCGTAGTCATCACGCATCCCTTCGCGTTAGCGTACCAGATCGGCACCTTCCATTCCTTCAATTATGTCCTTCACATCGCGCACACAACTGCGCCGCTCAGATTGGTCATGCCTTTTTTTTTTTTTTTTTTTTTTTTTTTTT